CCCCCCCCCCCCCCCCCTCCCTCCCTTCCTCCGTTTTTTGCATCAGACTCTCCAGAATGTGGGAAGTGCAATTTGCACTTTAAGTCCTTTTCTTTTTTGCCTGACTCCGAAGCTCTTCACGCTCACGAAAGTCTGAATGAGCTACGATGTTTCTGGATGAAAGGATGCAAAGACATCCGAAAAATCTAAGTTTTCCTTTGTACGGAACGGCGTAGAGATTACTTTATGGTTTTGATTTTCAGTAGGAAGGTGAGAATTTGCGAATTGATGGTTCTACAAGCACCATGCGTACGCTTATTTGCTACCCTAGCCAGTCTGGTTATATATTTCGAATATCAAGACAAAGGCTTAATGTGAGTTGTCAAGATTTCACTCAATGTTATTGCACCTGAAAAATTTGTCATTTTAGACCTTTGAAAGTGCTCGACTTCATTACTCTTCCATCACTATTGGCTGGTATCTATGCTACTCACATACTGGTAACAACGGTTTCCCGTCTGGTTAGTTCAGTTTTGCCCGTTGTCTGGCCCGGTTCCCAATATAACCGTTTCACTTCCAGGACGAGCTGATTTCATACCGTTACATTGTGGTCTTTCGAATTCTTGATCTGTTCTTTATGTTCTTCGGTTTACAACAACCCGTTTTTGACTTTCTCGCTCGTTATGGCGTTTTTGGCTGTGGAACCGTTTTACCAGCTATCGAGACATCATTCTGTGAGTTGCGATTTACTACTAGTTGTGCCACTGCCCGGGTATCTTTCTTTTGTGACAATAAGTAGGTTTCCTTTGGGTCTCTGTTCATTCTAGAAGACAAAGAACTGGCATGCTCCGAATACCCATTTTCCAGGCTTTCTAGATTCGGCTCTTATCTGAAAGCTCCCATTCGTTACTTCATTCACTCTAAACATGGGAAACTTAGAGGCGGCTTTACGATAGCTGGTTTTCCATGAAAGAAAAAGGGAATTTACTCTAATGCTAAAGCATTCCTAGCCCACCTCCTACCTCGGCTGCGGCGGAATCCTTCGTAGGAGAGTCCCAAAGGCGACAATCCCAAGAGCGCAAGAGCCTCCTGTCAATCACTCAATTACCCCTTCTTTCCCTTTAATCTTCTTCGGCGCCTGACAAGTGCAACAAGCGCGACCTCCTTTGGAAGGATGTGGCCATCACGCAATGGGCACTTAAGGATATTGGGTGCGGTCATAGTGATGTAATATACCTAGACAAGGCGCATCGCTGTGGTCATAAATTAGCTGCAAAGACCTTCTTTGGAAGTTTCAGGCCCCTTAAAATCGCTAATTTCAGTCTGGAAAAACTTCTTCACCGTGATCGAGTCATTTCTCGTCACTTTGATCTCAACGATACTGCTGCAACCGTCGAAATCCTCATTCTTCGACAAACATCCCAGTTGCAGATCTATGACGTCGTCTCGGAATAGTCATCACACAAATGAAACGCCTACTTAATCTTTTTCGAAAGCAATATACAGTAGAAATTCAGACATAATTGATGTTCTTCTGAACTGCATCTTTGCAAGCAAGCCTATCTTTCTTCTATCTTGATGATGTTTGTACTTATTTCTTCAGTCCTTTAGTCACAGCTGTATTGCTGTCTTTATCGTAAAGTAGTTCTTCTGCGCTAGCTAGTTGTCTTTAGTTTCCCCCATTTCAATACTTGTAGCTCTGAAGTCTCCATAGCGCGCATTACTAAACCGTATTTGTACATATATCGTGTTCTTAACAACCATTGCTTTCCATGTGTGACTGCAGGAGATCCTTTACTTCCAAATTCGAAAGACGCGGGCCGATTAATCCCTTAGAGAGCAGACAATATTTACATTCATAGCCGGTCTCTGCGAGCTAAACAAGGATTTACAAGCGGAAAGCAAACAGATAAACAAACAAGTAGTGAGTAGCGCTAAACAACGCTCTTTTAAGCTTTTGATTGCAGCAGACGAGGTTCACTCTATGAGATATATCCTATCAACTGTCGTTCTACTAACTGTGAGCCAAATTTCCGTCTGTAGCAGTACCATATAAATGCAATGGTTACTCTAGTCTTCCTTCCGAAATCACTGACTCCATTAGCGAATTCACAATGCAATGGTGATCCAATAACGTGTACTGTTTCAAATAAATATAATGTAATGATAATCCTTAATTTCATGAACACACAACAATGAACAAGCACTTCAAAGACATCCACAAAGCAAAGAGCAGCTGTAATACAGGTGTTTCACCAAATTATCGAGCGAGGGAGTAAGGGCCAACTGAGTAGTTGTAACTGGATAAAAAACGAAACCGACTCGTATCCAACACAAATAGATCATTTTAAGAAGTAAATATAAATCATAGACAAAAGGAGAAGAGAATGTCTACATGCACCCCCTCTGATAAGCGGTCACACTCAACGATTTCCATTTGCTCCAGCTGTTCCTGATTGACCAGCACCTGCTTGTTGTTGTTGCCAATAACTGTAATAAACATTTGCCTGATCGAGCTTGAACAGGAGTTCTAGTTCGATAGATTTCTTACCTGGCCCACTGCTGCATCACTTGCGGATTGCTGTAGTACTGAGCATAATAATTGTAATACTGCTGATGAGCTTGAGCTGCGGCAGCCACCGCTGCTCCACCTGGCCCACCAGTAGCAGGAGCACCGTAACCACCGCCACCAGTTGCTTGTCCTCCGTATCCATAAGCTCCTTGACCATAGGTATTGTAGCCCTGCTGACGCTTATCCGACTGCAATACATATTAAGATTAAGACTTAGGATTGCTGGTTTATAGGATTGCTATAATGCAAAAACTCACATCGCTTGTTTTTCCCCAAGAACAACGAATCGTGTTGCCACCGAGATCTCCACCGTTCATTTGCAATATGGCTCGACAAGCACAATCCTTCGAATCGAATTTCACAAACGCATAACCTTGCACTTTGAAAATGCGCACTTCAAGGATGCGACCAAATCGTCCAAAAGCTTCTCGGATGTCTTCTTCTGAAATGGTAGCAAACTAATGGTTATTTCATACGCGACTGCAATGAGTGTCTGTTCAAGCATAATTTTAAAAAATCGGCATTTGTCACACAAGGTTAAATATGAGGATAAAGAATAACTCAGAAGTCAAGTAAAGGCCGATAAACTAGCAACCTCCGCTGCTATTCCACATCGACTTAACGGTGTGTAAAGCCACATTTCACACGATTTCCATGAAAAAAGCGGAAACTTGACAACAGCTGTTTCTTGATAGAAAAATGCTATTTAACTGCTCATGATGACGTTGAAAACGTACCACATACTCCTCCTGCCACATTTCCCACGTAAACAGACGTGTTGTCCGGAGTTGTCATGTTGAAGATGTCATCGTAGGTTTTTTCGTTAGATGCAGGCTGATCGCCACCACCTTGGCCAGGCTTGCGAGTGGCCCAGTTTGTGCGAATGGTACGTCGACCAAGCCACTGCCCATTCATTTGCTCAATAGCGCGTTCAGCCTCCTTAAACACTTGTTAGCAGTAAAGATAATATGTTATAAAACAAAGAATCAGAAGCTAAGCCTCACCTCTCGCTTGGGATATGAAACAAAACCGTATCCCTTCGATTTTAAAGTTGTCACATCACGAATAACTTTAGCGTCACTAGAGATAAATAATAAAAAAATGCTCTTCGATTTATGGAACACTGTATATTACCTAACATCCCCAAAGGGTGCAAAGGCTTCCTTTAAAGCTTTGTTATCGACTTCGGGCGAGAGATCCCCAACAAATACATGGAAGTGTTCTGAAACGAAACGCCCATGTGAACAAACCAATATTTGTACATGTAATGAGAGGTTACGTACTGCTTGTATCAACTTTGGGTTGTTGCTGTCCTGGCTCCACAGCCCAATTCACCTTCATCTCCTGTATAACAAAAATTATATGAGAACTTCTCGCTAACTCCACGCTGTCTTTTGAAACCAACCTTATCCAGCAGCATTCGTCTATTCATTGTTTGTAGGGCCTGAGCAGCCATATTGTGATCTGCGAATTCAACAAACGCATACGGGTCATTTGTTCCCTGCAAAAAACAACAACTTGTCAACATTGGTATCATCGATATAGCGAACTACAAAACTCCATGGCTTCCCCTCTTGGTATACACCCGAAGACCTAGTTTTTTTTCATTCTCAAAGCGCGTCGCCAAAACGAAAAAAAGATGAAAGGAAAAAGAATGAGGAAAATCATAAAGAAAGCGTATGTGGTAAATGGATACTCTTTGAGGCCGCAGTTTGCGACGAGGTCGAAACTACGCGTACGTACGTTGGTTACCCATGCAGTCGCCGCACCTGCGAAAGGGACTCATTGTGGAATGCCGGCACATGACAAAGCAATCAAAAGAAATCCAAAATGGAAAACACCAAAAGTGCGCAAAGCGCAATGCAGAAAACAAAAGGTACACAGAGTTACTTACCACCATACCCATTTGTAAAGAAAACAAAGTAAATGGGATACAAGGAATAGGGCCCAACCAACAAACAATATGATCAGTACCAGGAGTAGAATAAGCAAAGAAAAAGTAATAAAAGAGGACCTACTATAAAGAAAAGAACAAAAAACAAGCCCCTGATCTGCAAATGCCAATCCCCCTGTAACCTTGACACACCTGCGGCCGTATACAGAGCTATCGAGCGGTTACGAAGACTGAGAAAACAGGCACTATCTCGGTTGAAAACTGGGAGAGCGATCCAAAAAACCAGAACAGTGCCCAGGATTCTTCGAAATTTCTCAGTAACGAAAAATGGTCACAACTTTCCAAACTCGCGCAATGCTTTCAAGACATTCTTCGCGAATCTTAACAAAGCACTCCACGCGCAAAACGCGTCCCATATTTCCTATGGGGGACCTTTCCTCAGCAACCTAGAGACGGAATCGATGAAAATTTGTCTTTGGAATGCAACACATCCCAAAAAAATGGACACTAGCGACCAAAAGAAATGGCAGCAAAAGTCAAAATCGCTTCGGAAAAGTGGATTTGTCATTCAGAAATGTTGACAATGGCAAATCCAACTCCTCATTCATTATCTTTCACCGCGTTGTTTTTTGAAATTTCGAAGCAGCTGTTAGACGATGACTAAGAGTTGAAGATATAAGCCGCTAATTGCGAAGCAAAGGCTTGCTGTGCAATATTCAATAAGTTGGCTCCATCTATGCGAGCACGAGACTACCTCGACTGGTTGCACTAGGTCAGGCCGCCAATCTGAAATCTTTTTAGCGGTAGAACAATAGGCAAAACAGACTCACATCAAAAATAACTTTGGTCTTTGTAACATTCCCAATTTGACCAAACAATGTTCCAATGAACTCCTCCGTGACCGAGGGATCCAGATTCCCCACATAGCTGAAATTTGGAAACATTAATTATACGAAGAAGTCAAAGTTGAGACTCCAATTTATTGCAAGCCGAATTTTTATAAAAATACACGTCCTCTTTTCATAAAACGAACTGTTAATGACGTACAAAACTCGGTCGACTATAATTAAGGGACAATTAGCGAATAACGGTGGGCTAACAACAAGCAAGAGAAAAACTCTATGTTGATAATGGAACTCAGAGATAGTGGACCCTTCTAGATACATAGAGGAGTGAACATTAACGAGCAAAGTAACAAGGCTACCACAAACGTTCAACATTTGACTCCCGATACCCATACTCGTATTGAATTACTGAACATTTCCCTTTCGTACCTCCCATGTGCGCGTCTAAGTTTCGCAATTGCTATGAACCACTACTTTCGACATGCAAGAAACAAAGAGACGCTCAACTTCTGAACATGACGCACTCCAGTTCCATATGAACCTGTTCATGATTCAGGATGGGACACATCCGTAAATCAAGCCCGACCAACTTATTATGGGAACCTCAACGTCCAAAAAGAAAATAGTGCTTGACATTTCTTCTTTTTTATCGCTCAGTTACTCACATTGAATAGTCAGTTATGATCTCCTGGATACTAACTGCCGATTATTTTCTAATCCTCATAAACCATGAGATTGTAGAAAAAGCTCAAAAAAAAAGATCAAAGCTATGTTATCACGAACGTTCCTGATTATTTTGCTAAAATCACTGGGCAAGATTCGCAGTGCGCAACACAATTACCCCAACGGATGCTGAGAATTTTGAATCAATCCTCCTAGAGAATTTAAAGCAACGAGAATCTCGGGAAGGCTAACAAGTTTTTCATCTTGCGAATGATCCCACCACTAAATCTCGATAATAGTACAGCACCGTCCCTATACTAGATTTTCTACGGTTCTCTCTCTGTTTCTTCTTCTAATGAACCCCCACACTACGTGTAACGCTCTCCAATGCTTACATCATCATAGGCGTTCAGGGCAACGCTATCGCCACTACCATTCATCATCCGGCATGCACTTCTCACTCTACAACCGCGTGAACTAAACGATCAATACCGCATCACCCTCCCGACTAAATTAGAGGGATTTTGACATCTCGAAAATGTGTGACACCATAACCCCCTAACACCCCATCGCCCACCCCGTGGACTTCACCCGGGGTACCTTTCTTTTGCGTCGCATATGTGACGGTTATTTTGGAGGCGCTTAACCGTGTGTTTGGGTTGCTGTGTCACACATTCACGGGACGATTAAATCCGTCTTGCTTCAACTGACTGCAGTACTCGGGTTTGGTTTGGAGGAAGAGCTCATCGCGGGCCATAATCAGCTGAATTCTCGCCAGACTACGAACAAAAGCAATAACTTACAGCGTTCTTGGCTCATCTGTTCCTCCCATGTGAAAGCCTTCTTTCTCTGCTACCTTAGAATGAGTACGGGGATTGTAAACACCAGCATTGTCATTGTCATGTTGTCCCATCATATGATTAGGTCCGTAGCCAGCATAACCACCATACTGGAACTGAAAACAGTGACATCGTCATGATTTTAGCAAATAGCAAACAAAATGCAAATCCGAACTTACCGCCATCCTTGTAGGTCAGAGGAAATCCCTTATCTGAAAAAAAAANAAAAAAAAATGCAATATTAACAATCAAAAAAGGCAGGAAACTAGAGTAATTACTCGGACTGAACCGGTGAAGGTAAAGACAAGCAAAGAATAGAGCGATGACGCACGGAACCAACGTGAACCGCCGTCTTACCGAAAAAATGAACGCGTCGCAGCCGCACGCGTTGTGAAAACTTGCACATCTAATGGTTTGCGCGCCAAGTTCAAACACTCTTAGCTAAAGGCTGCTGGTTGGTCTGCATGAACTGAAGCTGAGCTTTGGATTGTCGATTTCTTGTGGAATTATTCTAGAGCCACAGCCACATCTCAGAATATCTCCCTGGTTACCTCTCAATATGCTTTCAGTTGAATCGCACTTCTCTAAAGATTAGTTCATGAGAATTATGTTCGGCTTTCCGAAAAAAACACAGCAAATAACGTTGCCGTATCGGGATGTGCTCCCATTACTAAATGTCAGCCCGAGTAATGTGGGAGAGGCCTTATCTTGATCGGCGAACTTTGGACTGTTCGTACGCTACTGTTCGGTCGAGTGAAGTGAGTGGTGCGGATTTTCAATATACCAGACGCTTTATTTTGCAGCATGTTTACACCTCCTCTTCCTAGAAGTTTCCATTTCCAACCCTTTCAGGCATTTCTGCTTTGACCATTTGAGTAGAATGGCTGGGGTCAGGCGAATTCTTTGGAAAAAGCTGACACGTACCGTAGGTTATGGCCGCCCGATTAGACCACGTCAGCTTCTCCATGAAGCTTCGTTATCATTCTGTTCTCTGGTTTCGTCGTGACCAGTTTGCTGGGTCATTCGTGTAGCAAGTATTATTGTTGCTAATTTTCTCACATTCTACGATACTTTTGCTCGGCTTTTCTCGAAAGACTCAAAGAAACTTATGTACCATTAACCAACCAAAAGTTTAAAGAACTCATTTATTAGCCCAATTCCGCAAGGCTCGTTTGTGTAATTAGTTTTTATCGCAAAATTATCGTATCGTCTGCTTTTTGCACCCGGATCGCATTACGGGAATTCGGTACTGTCATGGCATCAGCCAGCAATGATCGTTCGTCTGAAATTTCATGGTTTCCAGTACTATTTATTTGATTTGATGTTTTGTTCCTACTACTAGACTCCAGTACCACTTTTCTGTGAGTTTTCCATGGTCATATTTCGGTGGTGCCCACTGGATAAAGCTACGGCTTTGCAAATTCCCTTGTAGCATTCTCTAGCCCTGATCACGGTCATGGTTAAGTTTGCACATTTGCATAAACAAAAGGTGGATTTCTGTCGGAAGAGTCAAAAACTAACGTCATCGATCAATTAATGCCAGTTATTTCTGAACTTGAACACAACATCTTCTTGGTCTTCGCGTCTCGAACACTTCTTTATTCTATTCCAAAACACAAACAAAACTTTTGTTTCCAACATTAATAGCTTTCCCAATATGGTTAATCTCGGGAAGTCCTCTTTGACGACCTTTGCCTTTCTCTTGCCACTTGTTAAAGGGCGTCTGTTTCTCCGTTGTTAGGAATGTCAACCTCGGCAGGCATCTGGCCGGATTCAGCGGAGATAAGAAGATAGCGCCCAGGTTACGGCTCTCCCCCTGTCGTGGTTGTCTGTTGATGTAGCAGCTATGGGAACATATTCCTCGGGTATCTGCCGGGCATTCGCTGTCGGTAACATGGTAAGTGGTAAAGGCACGTTTTAAAAGTTATAAGGAAGAAAGGTCAGAAAGATAGAAGTTCCGCGTAGGATCAGTCATGGAAGGAAGTGGAGCACACTAATTGAAAACTAGTTTCAACTAGGTTTCTTTCCAGGGTATACCGATCATAAACAAGGAGATTATTGTTTGTCTCATCTATAGCCAGGCAGCCCTATCTTCGAAAAATCCACGTAGTATGTAGTAGCTCCTGGCCATTCTCATTTGACGTGGAAAAGAAGAATGGAAAAATAACTTGAGCTTCAAATATAACCAACGATAAAAGGATAAGAGTGACGCGAAGAATAACCTTCTCAGAGAATTAATTAGACGGTCAATATCAGGCCCTTCAAGCCCCCACCCCCAATCCACAGAACCCAAAAAGAGTGCGTATTTGGCATTTGATTGTTATTTGGCATGGCAGCTTCATACTTACCAGTCGGACCGCCCGGCTAACGCCGGGCTTCCCTCCTTCTAATGGTGTTGCCCGGCTTCGCCGGGCGGTCCTCCTTCCTGTGAGAAATTCGCTATGCGTAAATAACTCTTCGGATTCTCCTTTCTCCTAGAAAGCTCTAAATTGGCAGCGATTTTTCTGTAAGCCATCTTCGCTGTGTACGGTAAGAAGATCGTATAATATCACAAAGGCGATTATTCAGAGAAAAAAGGAGCAGATGGGCTAAGGAAGCGTCCCTCCGTGAAATTTTCGTGCAATTGGAATACTTGAATGCCCTATGGCCAAATTGTCAGTTTTTGCGCAAACCCCGCCCCTGTGGGCGAGGCCCTTTCCTGCCACCTATACTAAGTGTTGCCATCCTGTTCCTATAGCTCCTACCAAATTTGAAAGTACTAGGTCCACGGGGACAGAAGTTGTGAATCTTTGCTCAGACTCCGCCCAAGTGGGCGGAGTCTGGTCCCGCTGCTCACCATAAGTGTTCCCATCCTGCCGCCTGAACTCTTACCAATTTTGAACGTTATAGGTGGAAGGGGACAGAAGTTATGAACTTTCGCTCAAACTCTGCCCATTGCGGGCGGAGTTTCGTCTTTCTACCCACTATTAGTGTTCCCATCCTGTTCCCATAGCTCCTACCGAATTTGAACGTTCTAGGTCCACGGGGACAGAAGTTGTGAATTTTTGCACAAACCCCGCCCATTGTGGGTGAAGTCTGATCGTGCCACCTACCATAAGTGTTCTGATCCTGCCGTCCGTACTCCTACCCAGTTTGAGTGCTCTAGGATCACGGGGACATGAATTCTGAACTTTCGCTCAAACATTTATTTCTCACAAACCCCGCCCCCTTTGAGCGGAGTCTGGTCTGCCACCCACTAAAAGTGTTTCAATCCTGCCGCCTGTACTTTTACCAAACTTGAACGCTTTCGGTCCACGGGGACAGGAGTTATGAATTTCTGGTCAGACACACACATACGCACAAACACACCAACGGACACACTTAGCCGATTATATAAGTAGGATTATTCCCGCTAGCCGCAATTTTTAGGTGGTCGTCTTTCTGCGCGCCACGACTTATTTGGCTGTATTGGTAAGTTGTCACGCCATACGGTATAACCTCACGTCAAGACCTTACGCCCGTCGACCATGTAAATCCGACAGAGGAAGACTGGGAAGGAGAGTACGTCAATGGCTTCTAGTAAGTAGTTAAATCGTGAAACTGGAGGCCACATCTGCTAATGTGGCATTGACTAGCTTCCGCGTGGCTGATGCTGTTCTAATTGTGTTGGTTTGACCATGGCGGTTCAAACGGGTCGGATGTGACGTACAAGCGGGGTGGACGACATGGTCGTTTATCCTCTGCTTGTCGTCTATTCATAAGAGTTTTGGGGTGAATATCTGGAATTAAGAAGTGAGCTACTCCTTCACCTTTCTTTGCCATTGAGCAAAGGAAACACGGAGCAAGGAATCCCGGAAGAGAAACAACACATTGTTGCTTTATTATCGCGTAACCAAATCATCTCAAATAAGAAGGCTGATGTGATTCACGTTTTTGGTGAGAGGTAGAGGTCAACGTCCCATCAATAGCCGCTGTAGTTGTAGCCAGCTGACAGACTCAATATTTAGAAAAAAAAACTGAAATTGCTCCCATCATACCCACAATCTCTCTCTTGTTGCTAATTTGCCTTCCCTCCAATAAGAACGTGAGTCAGGACTTCCCAACCTAGTGTTGTCAATTGTGGGGGGAGTTGTCCAACCAATGCGATGATTAGGTGACATAATGTAAGAGTGACCCTCTGAAGGATACGATCGTTGGATTATGGAATCCTACCTCGATCTCCTCGCAGACTAAATATGATTATCCAGAACAAGGAACTCATCAATAGACGTTCGACGAGAAGCTTTGATCGAGCCATATTCTTTTAACGACGACGAATCTCTCAAACCTGTGATCGAATTTCTCAGACAAGATAGAAAATTAGAGATGAATACATTACTGGGTGAATTAGTTTTGTTTCAGAGTGATTGAGTAATCGTCCCATCCCTTCGTAGACATATTAGAATTAGAACTATTTATAAATAATAAAAAAACAATGTTAAACAACTGGTAACTTCATGCACATCAACTTGGTAGCCACTATAAAAATAATGACTCCTCGTAAAACAGTAGCAAGGGACAGTAACAGATGAACCAAAAACGAAGTCAATTCATTTCTGATCCCTGACTCTCCTTACACTCCTCTGACCGTAATTTGAAATGAGAACAATACAATGAGATGAAACACAAACAGATAAAATTCTCTAACAGTACATCAACAAAAAAAANAAAAAAAACTGAAATCGTTACTAAGGAACGATTATAAGTGCACGTAATCTGAGCTAAGATAGAAATTCTAAACAATACTAAAACACTAATGAGACTACTTACTACGTCCGCTGTTTCTTCTCATCAAGAGGTGTGTCGAACGAAAATGCCACTAACTGGCTGCCTTCAACAATCGGTGTGCTCGAAGCATGCCACGTTGAAGGTGGACGAATCTCACACGAAGTGAGGCACTGTTCGAGTGTATTGTCGACTCCCAGAAGGGAAACTGTTTGAGATTTCTCATCTGATGGTTGTATTCGAATCTAAACTGTTGGTATAATAGAAACAATAAATAATCCGTTTGAAATTATTATGCTTTGGAATTAAGGATTTACACTTTTTCGATGTAAATAAGTAAAACATCGTCCACTAAAAAAAGGAATCCCGCGGTCATGCTCGATGTTGGATGATTGATGGTCATACTATGCACGAGGAAGATTTCTAATTATAAATTGATCTTCATAGTATACTCTCATGAGGTTTTCTAACTGTCAGCATTACAAGCACTACCGTGAAGGGAAGACATTGGGGTAGCCCTGCCCCAGGAACAGTTGCAGCATCTAGAATTAAATCGAACACCGCAGCAATCACTAGATGTTCTGAAGATTTCTCGAATTGTTGATGAGTACTGGTGCTGAAAGAGGCAATGTAAACAAGTTGGGAGATGGGCAGTAGGAACGGTTCTATGTAATCGATCCGCCGCACGCGGCTATCGCAGATCATTTCCCTCGTTATTACAGTCCAATCGCATACAGCTCAATCGCTAGGCGATTATTACTTTCGGCATGATTCTTTATTACCTCTTTTGTTCCTGTGTTTCCTACTTGCTGCTGCACTTTGCTACATTTCTTCGCGCGCGACGTCCTTCTCGTCGCACGCGACAATTTCGTTCCTACTGCACCACACCCAAACAAGTTTGCTTGCAAATTAGTGATCAATCTTAACGCTAAGGAGTGAATTACACATTTGATGAAAGCTCAGCGTGATAATAAGAACTGCCACAACCACAATCTCTAGTTTGTCCTTGCTATGAATATCTTTGCCTATTCTTTCTTCTTTGACCTAAGGGGGACAATGCATGACTGTAAGCTGGAAATTTAGTGGGCCGAATGGGCAGCCAGGTGGTTACGGTGTTGCCATTAGATACACAAAGTGAAGAGCGCATGGCCCGAGCTCATTTGAAGATAGGAGCCGCTGCTCATTACGTTGCCATGGAACCTAACTGTTTTCGAAAAATGATCGGGTTCCCAATCGGAACAGGTACCAGATGCAATCATATTAATTGCCTTCAGTAAAGCCTCACTAACTGTAAATCGGAATGTATCCTCACCTGAGGTTTACTCGTTTCTGATGGCTCATAGTTAAATACTGTGATTTGTCTATAACGAGTAGTAAACCGTGGGATTCGGCGCATAATCGTGTATTTTATGCACATCCACATAAATACCAAACAGGAACCAAATATCACAACACCGATAAGAAGAAGGACTGAAATTACTGTGACTGAGAGCTGATATCATTTAAAAATCAAATTGGAATCATAATGTGTAGGGCTTACTCAATCTCGCAACAGAGAATCGTTCAACTTTAGTGATGGACTTTATAATGGCAAAAGCTGATATGCTGAATAAGAAAAGGAGAACAGAAATGGTGCAGCAGTACTGATAACGATATCTCATGAAAAAGTCCCATAATGATCCATACTGAAACACGTATAGAATACATATGTACATCCAAACGGAATAAAATAAGGTTTACATCTACTGAATAAATTTAGAATAATCGTACCTCACGATAGCGATATTGAACACCACACACTTTACATCGTCGGTCAGTAGTTACACGTGCGGCAATGCACTGATGGTGGCAGCTAACACTGAAGAAAATATCTTGTAATTGTCTGTGATATTACTCTTTGACGTCAACCTTGCCAAAACCAATCCCAAATTTTTTTCTGCCGAGTTTCCTAGGTGCTTAAGCCGATTACCCCACTTAGGAAGCTGGTAGAAAAAAAAAATCATTCTGTTTTATCTCATCTTCGTCAGTGCCTTTCTGAATCGTTGGTCCGAATAAAGTTTCCTAATTTCCCAACCTCAATGTTTCCCAAATAAATCTGATTATTAATTCACATAAAATGGTTTTGGGAGGGACCTATTGTTTTCGAAGAAATATGGAATTGCTCGGCAGTACTGATTTTTATGATGATTCCGGCACAATTTTTCTTTCGAGATGTGATACTATCGAGTAATCTCGATACTTTTTAAAATCTGGTGCCTCACCCAAGTTTGCAGAAAACCCTTTTATAAGGAAGTCTTCGCCTTCCGAAGAGGCTCCTATAAGAAGAAAGTTCCAAATTCTCCCGCTTCCCGGTAGTGACGCTTTCCAATCTTTACAGTAATTTACCACGAACGGACTGGGTGAAACGAGGTGGGTATGTGTTTTCCCAAAGAGGCTATCACAACATCACAACCGTGACAGTGTACGATTTGACAGACTGCCCGGCACACCCTTAAATGGTACTTGATCACTTGTTCCGCAAAAGTCTCCCGAATCCTATGACGTCTAAAAAGCAATGTGAGTCATGGGCAGTAATTTCGGGCCGTGACCTGTATCGGGTGCATAAACTGAAAATTAAGCATCCGATCTACCTAAGCAATTTTATTCATCCATTACGAGTCATCTACACTCTGTCTAGTATCACCGCAAATGAATTAAAGTGCTTCCTATTTTTTTCAAAGGCAGCCAAACCGAAGAATTCAGATTGTAATAAGGTGAAAACGCTCACTCGCAGAAACAAGGCCGAATCATGGCTAAGTCCGATCGGAAACCAGATTTTGGACTAGGGGAAGTTGCTCCACATATGTAGCATTTTGTTCTGGTGTGGTTGTTGACGTGGGCCCTTGAGGAAGAAGACGAAGAAGGGATGTTCTGAATCCGAATTTCAATGATCAAGAAACAAACAAAAAATGCAAAACAAAGGTACCACTGGTGGCCGTAGACTTGCACCGCAAGAGACACATTTTCGGGACAACCACTTTTCGTCGTTGAGGGCGCAGAAGGTGTGGGTATATCTAAAGTCGAGTCGCATTCATTTCAAGAAAAGGTTTTCACCCATTATTGAAAAGGGGAAAAAAGAGGCTGCTGTCTGACAGGGAGACTTTGAATGACGCTGTAGAAAATATCCAAATATCACCGCTAGAAACACGGAGATAGCCTTTTCTGTTCAACACAGTATGAGCAGACTTACTAACTATAATTAACGGTAGGGCAGAGGTGAAGTAGCGGCAAGTGGCTCACTATCACACACGGATGGTCACGGGTTTGAATCCCGAATAGATGTTTGCCTAGCCCAAGCGGTCTTCCATCTCTCTAGAGGCCGTTCATTGGTACAAACTCTCTGGGAGAGTAAAAACACCGATCTGTACATGGGCCGGCCAACGCAAGCCATTGCATAGGCCTTACACTCATTCAAAACCGCCACTACGATTCTGATTGGAAGTCGAATGCGGAGGCGCATTTCCTCAGACGGGATTCATCAACGCCCAAAACTTTATCTTTTTTTTAGTACTCTATACGATATACTGTTTTATCGAAAATGAGTGGCGAATTGGCTGCATATTTTACCTTACGCTTTCCTGATGAGTTAAACCACAATCATCCAATGGACGGAGAGCTCCCCATAATTGCTGGCTTACAATTATGTAAGGGCACAATTAAAAATCTTGAAAGCGCACATCTATACATATCCATCGGAGCGTATAATGTTAGCTAGGACGCCGATAAAAGGGAATCTGTGTTTGGTATAAAAAAGGCCAACTGCAGAGCTGCTAATCCATCTGTGGAAATCGAAAATAACATCGACATCGAATATAAAAGCAAAAGCAATCACTGAGCCCAATCGCATAAGTCACTCACTAAATTCGATCATGTCTTTTCTCACTGCACTCAGACTCTTTTTTCTTTGTGTGTGAAGTAAGCAGCAACGCGTAAAACTTTCATTCGAAGGAACTCCCCTACGATTCATCTCATTAATTGATCGAACACCTTCAGAACTATAGATGAGCGACGTTCAGGTTTGGAGTCAAGGGCCCTTAGACATTTTCCTGTTTGGGAAGCTCCACTTGTCATAAGAGGTAACATCCATCAAAGGATAATCGCCAGATCACAAGTGCTTGAGATGAATTACGATAAGGAAAGGAGGAACCAAAAGAAATTGAAGTTGGTGAAATGGAGTGGGAGTGGAGAAACAAAGAAAGGAGACGGTAACTCAAAGTTTGTAGCGCTACTAGCAGCGTAGATTCTCCGCGATGCTCATTTTTTACATCCAATCACGTACAACTATAAAAGGCGTCAATTCACATTAGCGTGTCCACTAGAGTTGTTCACGGCTGAATAAGCTAATTTCCTATTTTCCTTTTTAAGGCAATATTTCACTGCAAAACTAGAATGGGGCCGCTTTCAGATTAGAATAGAGTCGGAGCCAGACGCTAATGATCAACTGTGACCACATTAATGCGTTCCTTCCACTCCTTCCCTAGTTGTATTACGCCTACCTTACCATCATGCTTACCTTATTATTGTTCAATATCACGAAAAATAACTTCAGTGTAGCTAGCACAAAAGTAGCATTCTGGAACTTACATATTTCCACACGAACATGGTTTAAAGCGTTCCTGCGGAACCGTAATCGTCTCGTGACAAAGAAGACACTTAGGACCACGTTCCACGATTAATTGAGATCCGTTCGATCGAAGCGTAGTCGAACTAGATGAATTGAGTAATTGGGCCATCTCTCTCGGTTTCTGAAACATCCTGGACATCAATATGATGTACTCTGTAGGCAAACGGTTTGTTACATATGCGACCGTTCTCTTATGCTCAGTTTTTCATCTTACAGACGTAGAAAGGTACCAATTGGCTGTTCCTTAGAAATGAGATCTAAGAGGACATGCAATTTTTACCTGTCTTGTGTTAACGAGCTTCAGCGACCCTTCCTAGCTCGAAGAACCCGAAACGACCAATACCCATTCAGTGCAATCACAACGGAGGTAGAAAGTCTGCTTTACAGTCATTCTTATGTTTATCTGGGGTATCCAGCCGGTGACAGCTTTGCCATCACGGTCATATCAAAGCCAACCTTAGCGTCAACCATGCTCGATGTCTGTTGGAGTACTTCGGAAAACTAGAACATGGATATTCCACAGTGGATTCGCAACTTTTATTACTTCGCGAAT